TTTGAGACAGTGTCTCGCTCTGTCACCCAAGCTGGAGTGCAGTGGCACAATCTCAGCTCACTGCAAGCTCCACCTCCCAGGTTCACGCCATTCTCCCGCCTTGGCCTCCTGAGTAGCTGGGACTACAGGCGCCCAACACCATGCCCGGCTAATTTTTTGTATTTTTAGTAGAGACGAGGTTTCACCGGGTTAGCCAGGATGGTCTTGATCTCCTGACCTCGCAATCGGCCCACCTCAGCCTCCCAAAGTGCTGGGACCACAGGCGTGAGCCACCGTGCCCGGCCAGATACATCTGTCTTACTGTTAGTCCTCAAATAGAAAAAAGCAAGGGAAATCCCCTCCCTTATACTCTCAGTACCAAACTCCTTAACACAAAACTCTAGCTGTCTTAACAGTTTTCTAAAATGTCTTCTTTTACCAGGCACGGTGACTCACATCTATAATCCAGGCACTTTGGGAGGCTGAGGCAAGCAGATCGCTTAAGACCAGAAGTTTGAAACCAGCCTGGGCAACACAGCAAGACCCTATCTCTACAAAAAATTGTTTTAATTAGCCAGGTGTAGTGGTGCACATCTGTAGTCTCAGCAACTTGGGAGGCTGAGGCAGGAGGATTCTTTGAGCCCAGGTGTTCAAGGTTACAGTGAACTACGATCGCACCCCTGCACCCCAACATGGACCACAGACCAAGACCCCCATTTCAAATAAATAAAATAAATAAAACTTCCCATTTTGCCTTGGGTCTCAATACTACCATGACAGCCATCCGCCTATGACTTGCTTGTCTATTCTTTCCCAACACCCAATCAAAAAATTTTAAAAAAGAACTAAGAATAAAGCCAGGTGTGGTGGCTCACACCTGTAATCCCAGCACTTTGGGAGGCCAAGACAGGCAAATCACCTGAGGTCAGGAGTTCAAGATCACTCTGGCCAACATGGCAAAAGCCCATCTCTACTAAAAATATAAAAATTAGCTGGGTATGGTGGCGTGCACCTGTAATCCCAGCTACTCAGGAGGCTAAGGCAGGAGAATCACTTGAACCAGGGAGGCAGAAGTTGTAGTGAGCCAAGATCACACCACTGCACTCCAGCCTGGGACACAGAGAGAGACTTTATCTCGAAAAGAAAAAAGAACTAAGAATAAAAATTATATCCTATTTCCCCAAGTCAGAGACCTTGAGTTACCTAAACGAATGTAGTAACAACACCCAATGCTTACATCTCAATTCAATAAACTCAGACTTTAATTCAACAAAGTATTTCCTGGCTGGGCATGGTGTCTCACATCTGTAATCCCAGCACTTTGGGAAGCCGAGTCCAGAGGATCACTTGAGCCCAGGAGTTTGAGACCAGCCTAAGCATCATAGCAAAATCCCATCTCTGCTAAAAATACAAAAAAAAAAAAAATTAGCCAGACGTCGTGGTGTGTACCTGTAGTCCCAGCTATTTGGGAGGCTGAGGTGGAAGACTCACCTGAGCCCAGGAAGTTGAAGCTGCAGTGAGCTGTGAGCACACCACTGCACATCTACCATAGGGAAGGCACAGGCACAGTCCATACATTCCTTCAACAAAAAGGTATGCAGCTTCTTCAAGCCAAAGTACTCTAAATGCCAGGAATACAACACTTAGAGTATATAAGTATACTCTAACACAGAGTCTCACTCTTCTCACTCTTGCCCAGGCTGGAGTGCAGTGGCACCATCTCGGCTCACTGGAACCTCCACCTCCCCGGTTCAAGCGACTCTTGAGCCTCACCCACCTGAGTAGCAGGGATTACAGGCATGCACCACCACACCTGGCTAATTTTTGTAAAAAATAAATATTTTTTAAAAGGAAAAAAAGATAGGCTGATCAAGGAAAGTCTCTGAGGAAGTAAGATGTAAGATGTAAGCAAAGACTTGAAACAATGTAAAGAAAAAAACCCTGTTAAGATCAAGCTGACAGCAATCCATATGTATATAAATGTCCCAACCCCAGACAGTTTGAAGCATAAGGCAATAAGGCCAGTAATTACAGCTGTAAAGAAAGTAAAAGGAGACTAGTATAGTGGATGTGGTCAGAGGTAGCCATGGTTAAGGAATTTGAACTGTACTGGGAATGAGGAAGGCTCTGTGCTACAGCAAGGCATATAGTGCTTCACCTGAGTGAGATTATATTACAGTAAAGGAGATAAGGCAAGTGTAAAGCAATTGTCATACAAGGCAGAATAATCAGAAATAGAGCATGTACAAAATACAATGTGAGTCACTGAAAGAGTTAAAACCACATCAAACTCAGGAAGGAAAGAGTTGAGAGGAGGTGGAACTTGAGATAAGGCTATGGAAGAGAAAAGTACAGCATGAGGGTCATACAGGCTTGTTCAGCAAACAGCCAGGCATCCAACATGGCTGACATGTTTGATATGCTTAGTAGAGTCCTGGGAGATTAGACTACTGCAGTAGGTTGCAGTGGGTTGTATTATAGAAAACCATTAATTATCTAATTCTGCAGGCAATGGAAAGCCACTGAAGGTTTGAGTTGTGGGAGAAGAGGGAGAGGAATAAAATTATCAGAGGGCTATTTGGTAAGGTATCTCTGACAATGACTGCATGAGGTTTTTGCAGTAGTCCAAATAAAAAATAATTAAGAACCAAACTAGATGGTAGTTGTAAAGAGAGAACACGGCTGGGCACAGTGGCTCACACCTATAATCCCAGTACTTTGGGAGGCCAAGGCCAGCAGATCACAAGGTCAGGAGTTCGAGACCAGCCTGGCCAACATGGTGAAACTTCATCTCTACTAAAAATACAAAAATTAGGCGGGTGTGGTGGTGGGCGCCTGTAATCCCAGCTACTTGGGAGGCTGAGGCAGGAGAATTGCTGAAACCCAGGAAGCGGAGGCTGCAGTGAGCCAAGATCACAACACTGTACTCCAGCCTGGGTGACAGAGCAAGACTCTATCTTGGGAAAAAAAAAAGAGAACAAATACATACGAAAGAGGTGGAGAAACTGAAGAAAGCTGAATTGACAAAATTAAACAAATGGCTGGATGTTGAGGTTGCCCATATTGAGTCTGAGGTGCAGGTGAGACAATCTGGATAATCCACAATTTGCTCCAAAACAAGCAAATAACCTATAATCCACAAAAATTACCAAAAGAAGTCCTGCTTAGTGGAATAAGACTCTGGTTCTTGATAAAAGCAAAGCTGCTAACCATCAAAAATATCAGCTTTAGCCGGGCATAGTGCTGCATGCCTGTAATCCCAGGACTTGGGAGGGCAAGGCAGGCAGATCATTTGAGCCTAGGAGTTCAAGACCAGCCTGGACAACATGGCAAACCCCGCCCCCCATAAAAATACAAAAATTAGCCAAGCATGGTGGTGCATGCCTGTAGTTCCAGCTACTCAGGAGACTGAGGCAAGAGGATCACTTGACTCCAGAAGGTTGAGGCTGCAGTGAGCCAAGACTGTGCCACTGCACTTCAGCCTGGGCAACAGAGCAAGGCTGTCTCAAAAAATGAAAACAAAAACAGCCTTTACTAAAAACTAAAATGACACTGATGATAAAATGATACAATGCCTAAAAGTGTTTCCTTTCACCCTAAGGAAAGGAAGAAAGGTCTTTAATGTATATAAATGTAACGTGCAATGAACAATGACAACATACAACCACAGTTAAGAGACAGCCTAACCAGTCAGGGAGCCACATGACAAAGTCCAGGAAATCCTACTAGTGAACTATAGCAGAGCACTAAAATATGACTTGAATGGATTTCCACAAAGGAATAGGAGAAATGATCATTAAACAAATGTAGGTCAGGTGCGGTGGCTCACGCCTGTAATCCCAGCACTTTGGGAGGCCAAGGCGGGTAGATCACCTGAGGTCAGGAGTTCAAGACCAGCCTGACCAACATGGTGAAACCCCGTCTCTACTAAATATACAAAATTAGCCAGGCACGGTGATGCATGCTTGTAGTCCCAGCTACTCAGGAGGCTGAGGCAGAAGAATCCCTTGAACCCGGGAGGCGGAGGTCGTGGTGAGCCAAGATCGTGCCATTGCACTCCAGCCTGGGTAATAAGAGTGAAACTCCATCGCCAAAAAAAAAAAAAAAAAAAAAAAAATGCTGTTCTACCCACTGAGCTCTAGGTTATGGGGAGGGATAATTTCAGAAACTTCGGTGTGCAAAAAGGAGCAGCTTCCATAATTAACTTTTCTGCCCAAAACCTTCCAAGCAACATTTATCAGTCAGTTTCAAATTAACATTTACTGATCAATCTATTTTAAGGTACTCTATTTCAAACAAAGGATGGTACCACTTTCATGAGTTTTTAAGGTATAATTTTTTTTAAAAGTTAGTTAAGACTAATACCCCAAATAACTTTTAATATATTCCTTAAAATAACTGACACTTTAATTCAAAATAGCCATCTATTTTTTATATACTATCATTAAACAGTTTTGTCAGAGACATAAATTTGAAGACTGCTCTACAAACGAATTTTCTACAAATAAAGTTAGTATATAGTGTTTAAATCAGCATTCAAAGAATCATTAAAGCCAGATTTTACAAAAGGTATGATTCCAAAGTGGGATCCATGTGTCCCAGGTTTCTGAAATTCTCATTTATTCAATACGCTACTATGGCCTTTCATACCTTTCATGCCCACAGAGGCCACAGCAAACAATCAGACATACAACCAACTAGCAATTCTGCCCTTACATTATCTGACATTTTATATTTGTTCATTGCCTGCCTTCCCCATTAAAAAATAATCCTCATGACAACAGTGACTGTGTTTTTACAACTGTATCTCCAATACCTAAAACACTGCCTAACACGTAGCAGGCACTCAATGAGTACTGATCAATATATCCGTAAGAAAAACAACAACTATATTCTTCCTACAAACAGATTCAAGCAATGACAATATACCCTGCTTGAATCTGCCACTTTTTACAGAATGATGTTTAATTTTGGTATGTGTCTCTTCCTGAATTGCAGAAAATACAGTTATCTTTGAGAAGGTTGGAAAAGATTCAGTGATTACAGAGAGGCACTCTTTAATACAGCTCAGGGTCTAGTCTGAACTTGTGGGACACGCACAGGGACACCAGAGTCACTTCTGCACAATGAGACACAAACGGATGGATGCTCACCCCTCAATAAAGGTATATACGCAGCACAAAACATGCTAAGAAGGAGTACCACAAGACTTAATTAGTGCTCAGAAGGAGCTTTGTGACACGAGATGAAAGGTACCACAGACACAGAAAACATTACAAAGGTGTGGCAATACAATACCTCAAAGACAAGAATCAGTTTGTGACCCTGATGTAATGAGGATTCCAGGGACCACTGACAATCTCCACTTACAAAGCAAAGCATGGAACAAACCCAAAGTATCAAATGCCCTGTAACAAAGAGAAACTGACATGATAAGTCCTGTGCTGTCCTCCCAGCTTTCCCTTCCACATTAGTACTAAAGTGCAGGCAGGCATTTCTCTCATGGAAACAAACTTTTCTCCATATCGTCTACTTTCTGTCATTAATATCACTTACCTCCTGCCCTGTAGCTGCTTCCATATCAAGAAACAGATCAAGAAGAGATCGGACCAGGCGAGCTGCTTTAGCCTTGCTGATGGAATTCAAGAAGGGTCGTACATACTTCAGGAGTCCCCCAAGCTCTGTATGAAAGGCAATTCAAAAAGAGAAGTAAACATCAACATTTGAGACAAAATACCCACTTAAGAAATTGATGGAATGTCATAAAAATCAGTACTTACATCACTGGAATCAGTCTAAATGAAACTTACTAGGAGTTTAAAGCATTCCTAGCAAATAGCAGAGTAGCAAAAACACATTAACATCATATACCAAATTTGCATTGTTACCTACTCAGCCACTGGATTACTATGAAGTTCCAAGAAAAGCTCATGTCTCTGCTTCATTTATCCATCTTAGTGAAAGATAAACAGCCAAGTATTCATAATCTCAAAAAGCAGTTTTCTAGAACATGAAATATGCTGTGTCCCTGCCACCTTCACAAAATTACTTCCTCACAACCAACAAATATGATCAGGTTATACAAGTAATTTTTTTCTAATTTCCAAGTCTGCTTCAGCTGTTCCCCTTAAACAGACAAGAGATTTCCCACTCCAGATTCCTTTTTCATGTCTTTCTGCAGTGCTCCCCAGTTTAGCCTTTCTGCAATATCACTTCCCTGGCACTCTTCTGAATAAACTTTTCACATAGAAGAGTGTTTTGCCCTTAAAGTGCTACTATATCTCTTTTAAATTCCTCATTAATCTTCAAAACCTAAGTCTTAAACTATGACCAAAAAAGGGATCCATCATAGAGCTTTTCCCCCACTTTATAGAAGAGGGCAGTATACGAACTCTAAAGAAACATCTTTCGAAACAATGAACTAGAGATATGCTTGTTAAATAGTAAAAATTAGAGAATGTTTCAACTAAACAGCTAATGAGGTATTTTTGGAATGTAGGTTAAAATTACTTTAGTGCCACTGCCTCTTTAATATTCTCCAATTGCAGACTCACCCTCCTGAGAACTCTAATTCAGGGCAAGCAAACCTCACCCTCCAGAGAATGCTAATTCAAGACCCTGAAATCCTCATCTGCCTGAATAGTCAGAGAATGCATGGGACTGTGTCAGGCACTTAAGAACTTGATATAGAGTAGAAAAGTTCATCTTTTCCCTTCACTCCCCAGTAATGACCTTTGATTCCCAATGTTTAAAACTTTTTGTCATTCTGCCACCTCATTCGCCTCTGCACAAGACTACAGCATATACTCCTGCTTTCAAGAGGCACTAATGCCATAATCCCATCTGAAATGTCTTGCCATCTTCTCAGCCTATATAAATCTTATATATCCTTTTACGTCCATCTGAAGTCCTATTGAGTTTTCCATGTAACTCCAGTCTACAGTGATTCTCCCCCTCAAATTCCTTTTGCATTTATTTCAATTATATTATGTAATGATAGCTTTTTTAAAGTAGTCCGGAGCAAAGTCCCTTCTCCCACAGAATTTCCTCCTGTGCCTGAACAATTCTGAATGATTTCTAGTCACAGAAATGTTCACAAAGCAGCCTATTCTAATGTTGACCAAAACAAATTATTCCTTTTTGAAACACAAAACAGAAATCTATACCTTCTTTCATATGGCTTTAAATACTTAAAGGTAATTATCATTTACATTTCCCTAATTTTCCCTTTATCCAAGCTTAACATCTTTGGCTATTTCAACTGTTCCTCCAAAGTCCTTGTTTCTAGATAACTTAGTTGCTCTCCTCTGAACAAACTCTACTTTCTAAAGGTACTACCTGTGGTATTTTGTGGTACCCAGAAATGAAAACAACTGCTCCAGGTAGGGTCTGACAGTAGACCAGGAGGCCATGATATGTAACATAAGAGAGCATGTTTTGCTTTTTCTAACACCTCTCTTTGTTCAGACCGAGTCCATTAAAGTCCTTTTTAATAGACTACTGTCAAAACAGGTAATTCCCCCAACTTCCTCTGTTTTGAAAAATACTTTAAGTATATAACTTAATCCTTATCACAACTGAATTTAATCTTCCTGGCTTTGGCAATAACTGTGAATTTTAATTCTGTCTTCTAACTGTACTGAGTCATCTACAAAAATAAGCATGCCTTCTGAAATGGCTTTAACCATGATTCCAGATGCTGACCAGAAAAACAAGGACAGATCTTCATGACACAATACCTGAAGACTTCCCTTCAGGTTGACAAATGATCATTTATTAACATGTTTTGGATACAGTTACTCAGCCCATTGTAAATTCATAACCTGTACCTTTGATATTAATATTATGGCAAATGTTCAACTATCCTGCTTACATCAGATATGTAGTCTATATCATTCCTCTAATCCAGAGGCTGGCAAACTTTTTCTGTGAAGGACCAGACAGTAAATTTTTTTGGCTTTTCAGGTTATATGGTCTTAGTAGCAGGTCCTGAACTCACTCAGTCACACACAATGGGGAAACAAATGGGCACGACTTTGTTCCAATAAAACTTTATTTACAAAAACAGGTGGCACACAGACCCCTGAAAATCTATGGGTCTGATAAAGCTAACAAAAAAGAGAACTAGGCTGGGTGCGGTGGCTCATACCTATAATCCTAGCACTTTAGAAGGCCAAGGCGGGCAGACTGCTTGAGCTCAGGAGTTCAAGACCAGCCTGGGCAACATCGCGAAACCCCCACTCTACAAAAAATTAGCCAGGCATGGTGGTGTGGGTCTATAGTCCCAGTTACTTGGGGGACTGAGGCAAGAGCATTGCTTGAGCCCAGGTCGAGGCTGCAGTGAGCCAAGATTGTGCCACTGCACTCCAGCTTGGGTGACAAAGTGAGACTCTGTCTCAAAAAAACAAAACAAAACAAAACAAATAGAGAGAACTAAGGTGAATTTGGAATAATCTGTTCACAATAAATCCACTGTTTTTAAGAGATTACTATCTCCTTATCAAATAATCTGTCCCAGAACTCTACCACTAATGACCATGTATAGTGTCTATTCTTTATTTTTAATTTATTTCAATGTGCAGCACACAGTGAATACATCTATTCTTTGCATTATCCTCTTGAAAGGCAGGATATTTGCCTCAGTTTCCTTATACCTCTCCATGATTTTTCTCAGAATAATAAATGGCTCTATAGTTACATCTGCTAGAACTATTTTTTTGATAATAAAAGAAACTGTTAGAGCCTAGAGACCTGAACTTATTTACAGAGACTATCTGCTCTGTCTTCTCTCACGTATTTCTATCTTTCAGTTTGAAAATCATTTTCCTTCCTAGAAAAGGCAGAAGCGAAACATGAGCTAAGCAGTCTGCCTTTCTAACACCTGCTAGCATTACAATATTTTCTCTAAGCACTGAGTGTTATTCTTCTTACC